TACGGATGAACTCGAAAAGAGGGAAGGCTCACGTGGCCGGTGACGCGCAGCCGGTCGGTGGTGTTATACCCGGACGGCCGGTCACGGGTTAGAAGCCGGAGCTAAAGGAAAACCGGAACGGTGTTAGCACTTGGCCGTAAAGGGAAGGGAGGCGAGTCTGCCTCCTCTTTACTGGGACGGGGCAGGTGCCCCCGGTCTTAACCCCTAAGTGGGACGCCAGGACACCTGTCCCGCTACAGTAGCTGTTACTTACTGTATACCAGCTACTGTACACAATTAATAAATTCGTGCCATTAACTACTAATTACTACTTATAACCGTACGGATTACACACGTGTGCCTGTGGCCACGCCAGCGGTTGTAGCACGTGTGACCCGCGGGGTACTACTGTACTCCGCTACGGGCGCGTGCAAGCCCGGTAGCTACAGTAGCACCTGCTCTTCCGTTCGGTTCACATCTCCCCGGGGTGGTCGTGGTACGCAATTGTACTACAAGAAACTTGGAAATGTTCCGAAAGGTGAACAAGGTCATGCTGAATGGAGTGCTGGACCCTTGCATGGTCGATAAGGCCAAGCGGATCCAGTTTAATTAGCATCTACGGCTCATCGATTACCATCCTCCTCCTCCTCTGAGAGGAACCAGTGGTAAAGGGCTTCTTCTTTCGCGAAACATCCTTTCGTTTACGTTGAACTTCGGTGGATATTTTCCTACCACCACCATGACGCTTGCGCTTCCCAACTGGCTGTTTGGTGAGGCGACGAAGCTCCGGAATGCCGAGTAGGTCGACCCCATCACCAAGACAAGCGCTCAAGGTTCCCTTGCCCATCTGTAGTGCAAAATGCTCTGTGCAATCATACACGAGCTGCATCTTGGCATCCAGAACGACGACATGGTCGATTTCTTCTCCTGAACTGTCCATTCCCCCTAACCTGGACAAGAAGATCCCATCACGTTGGAAAGCCAACCACTCTTCTTCGTCAACACGGTTCGGAATCGAAACCTTTTCAAGGCGGTAAGAGCCCAACCGCTGTTCGAGCCACGCTCCAGCTTGGGCGACGCTCACGGCTGGCATCGGATGGATATTCATCATGGCTAGTGCAGCCACTTCTCCAGCCAGCGCGTATAGTCCATTCGCGATCGCGGCTCGGAGACACTGGCCACGTGGAGAGTATACGAAGCTGCGAACGTTCGTACGGCGGTGGAGCGTTGCAGCCGAATCCCCGCGAGCACCGGGGCATCGAAGTCTGAAGAAGTGGTCCATCCGTCGAGTGCAAGCCTGGTGCAGATTGTCCAAATATCGCGCCTCGGCGTGACCATCAAAAACTATCTCCACTTGCAGGCCGCTCCCGTTTTCCTTCACCTCCAAGTCAGACTCGACCTCACTGCTCAGCTCCAACATCTGCTCCAAGCTACCCACGGCCCTGTACGACTTCATGGTGTAGAAGTCGATGGGCCAGAAGGAGCGATGTCCCCCGCGGTCGCCTGCTGAGGCAAGGAACCCCCGCTTGCCAAACCGTACGTCCTTCCTGGACGAAAACACAATACGCCGAATAGTGTAGTCCGTTTGGTCAGCCCCGGGGTCCATCAGCCGAGAACCCCAAACGGTCAAGAACCCGAGTTCCTGGAGCATTCTTTCGGTGAAAAAGCGACCACGGCGCAACGACAGCCAATCCCAGAGCTCGCCACAAACTTCTCGGGGCAATCGCACACTCCTTATCAGTGCCTCTTTTGTCACTGACACCACTCGAGAGCCACCGTGTAGCTGAACGCGGCACTCGCCATCCAGCATCTCCATTCCGGAAAGCGGTGCGCGCTTAGCTTCCATCGAGACCCACCGCACGTCAGGCATCGTGAAGCCTCACGCTCACCCCTCCGTACCGTCGCCCGCGGGCGCTTTTATCGGTTTCGGTCAGGGCAGGCGCGAAGCGGAGGATGACGAGACGAAGCGGAGGATGAAGAGACGAAGCGGAGGATGAAGCGACGAGGCGCTCGACGTCGAGACGAGGGGCGGAGCGCGCGGCAGCTGCAATGGATGAGACCCCAGTAGGGGAGACTGAGAAAGTGATGCTTGGCGCGGTGGTGTGGCGGCGCGGCGAGGCAGATGGTGACCACGAAGCTTCACACGGATCGCGAGATGCGCAATGGGCTCAAGGAGTGGAGCGGGAAATGCTGTGCGATTGAAGAAGCGGGTGTGCGGCAGCGCGAAATGAGGGACCGATCGTAGGTGGAGAATGCCGTGTAAGGCAGGCGCCGCAAGGGAAAGGGAAGAAGTAGATAACTCCGTCTCGGAGGACGCGGTGCATAAGGGAAGTCCGCAGACTGGGGTCTGCCAGGGCGTCGGACCACGTTCCCAACGGATGTACTCCGCCGTCGGCGTGCGCGTGTAGTCGGCCGCCGCTGGCCGCCGTCGAACGTGGCCCGACGGGGGGTCTGTTGTGGGCACTGTGCAGCGAGGACAGCGCTAGCCCTAAGCGACTGGCAGTGTCCGCGGCGGTGCGCCGCCGGTCCCAAAATTACAAAGGGGAATTTTACCGGGTACTTAAATCAAGGGGAAATTAAAGGGACTAGAAATCCGGGGGATACTCACGCACTCACGAGACAAGACCCCCGGTGGCTTTTGTGGGCTTTCGCTTCGCCTCGCTCGATCACCTCCGTTCCGCTCCCTCCGCTGCGCACGTTCAGAGACACCGAGCCTCAGCTTCCGCTCGACACTAACATTCCTACCACAGTTTGGGGCTTCGCAAGTCGTTGCGTATTGCCCAATCTGACCACATGCAGAGCAACGCGATTTTCGTTGAGGGACTGCGACCCCTTGTTTCCGTCGTTTCTTCGATTGCCCTGCCTGGCGCGGAACTCTCCAGGCTCTCATCTGTCTGGCAATGACCGGAGACCCTCCAACCTCTACGAGGGTTTGGGCTAAGGGCTTGCGCTTACGTTTCCCCTTCATGGCGTTGCATGGGTGAGTGAGATTGAGTTTTACCACTTCTACAAGCCGTTGTTTTCCTTGCGGTCTGGTTGGGCGTTCACAATGTATGAGCACTCCTCGGAGGGGCAGTGTATACGCGGGTGCCCAGAGTCTGACCTTTTTTAGCTTGTGAGATCGGCCCACGGGGGCGCTCAGGGCCAAGGATGCTATGATCCGTGAGCACGGGTAACATGCAGCGGGTAACAGCTCATACGCCCCATACCAGCGGGCCACTGCCAAAAATTAAAACTGCGCGAATACAGAAATTATTTAAAATTATGAGTTGACATTCAGGAATCTATACATTAGTTTAACACACTATTTAATAACATATTATTTTAACACATTATTTAATAAATTCGCACTCATGAAGAATTGAACTCGCGACCAAAAGAAAAGGGTAGCAGGGGAGTGGTACCGAAGCACACCACCCCTGCTAAAACCCCTTCTCCGTCGAGTGGTACCGAAGCACACCACCCCTGCTAAAACCCCCTCTTCGTCGTCCCGCCTTCGCGTGTGCACCACTCCCGCCCGACCTTTCCGGCGGTAGCAGTATTAAATTTCCAACCAATTTATACCAGACCATCTCGTGCTACAGTACCGACCCCCCAAAAAATAAATTTGAATAAAAATGCATTCAAAAAATAAATAAATGATATTAGTAGGTACATGAATCCCTAGAATTGTATCTGTAAGCGCACCCCTCATGTACAGTATTGATAAATTTACCCCCCAAAATAAAAGGGCACCCCACCTCGTCAGAAGCCCGCGACGACATAGTTGAGCCCTCCGCCGTTGTCGCCGACCCCCCGCCCGCCCGCGCCAAGCTGCCGTTGATGGTGCAGGCTCCGAGCGTCCCGCCTCCTGCCACCGCCGCCCGAGCCCGCCCATGCAAGAAAAGGTCCCTCCTGCCGTCTTGACAGCTACGCCCGCTCCCGGACCTACACTTACCGCCGCACCCGTCTCCCCTCATCCGCCGAGATTCGCCTTTGCCCCGGCCTCCCGACGCAGCCAAGTGCAGAGTAGAGTCATCGGCATGCCGCTCTACCGCTCCCCTGTCTCCCCTCCCCTTCCTTCATGGCCTGCCACACCGGTACCCTGACCACCGTCCACGTGGGCTGGCTCCCGCGCCAGCTCATCCTGCTTCCGCCGTTGCCGTACCTCGGGCTCCATCGCACGCCCGGCGGAGCGCCCGCGCTATCCTCCGCCGCGCAAGCGCACTACCGACCCCGTGTTCCTCTCCTTCCCGCACACCCCCTCGCTCTGGTGCACCGTGTGGCTCTCGAGCGGGAACTGCTTGCCCATGAGGGTGTGCTCGCCGGGGTGGTGGAAGGGCCACGCGAGGGCCCAGTTCCAGCTGGCGGGGCCGGGCCGAGCGTTTACTCGGCGCGCACGAGCTTGGGCTGCGGGGCCAGCGGCGAGACGCCGACCGCCGCCGGAAAGTTGAGGGTGGCAGATCTCGCCCTAACCGCACGCGGAGAACTCCTCGTCCACTGACGATAGCGGCCCGTGCCCGTTCGTCCGCGTCGTGTCGTAGCTTTACGGCCCGTCCACAGCCCTCACCATCCCCGTCCCGCACCTCGCTCGTCGACGACGACGCGGCGAGGGAAACTAGGGCCGAGAGCAGCAGCGTGCAGACCTGGAGATTCATCGTGCGGGCGTTGGGCGTGTTCGGGCGTAGGAGTGAGTGAGATAGTGTGGGGGGAGTGCAGGGGGCGGGTGGGGTATAAATATGCATGCGGCTGCCGGCGAGGTGTAAGATCCCCTACCCCGCGAGCGGATGCTATGGAGGCAAGACCCCGCCTCATTCTCATCACCGGGAGGCAGGGCTCCCTGGGTGATGAGAATAAGGCGGGGTACTGGGCGGGGCGTGTGTGGCGCAGCGTGTTCGGCGGGGCAGTCTGCCGCGGGCGGGCGGGGGCGCCGTACAGGCGTGGCGGCACACGGGGGGCGGCGCGAACGTTAGGAAAAGCAAGAGAGTGAAAGCCAAGGAGGCGCGCCGCCGCATCCCCGCCGAGATCCTCCTCGCCCTCGATTACATCCACATACTGTTCGTTGTGTACCGCGACTTGAAGCTGGAGAACGTCCTGCTTGACCTGGACGGCCACGTCCGCATCGCCGAGCCGACTTGGGCCTCATCAAGCTGCTGGGCAAGCGGAAGCACCCGTTCCAGAAGCCCCAGCCGCCGCCCTCGTCCAACCTTCGCATCGCCCCGGCAAACCCCATCAACATGCCCGAGACCTTTTGCGGCACGCGCGAGTACGTCGCCCCGGAGATGCTCAGCGGCTGCGAGTACGGACAGTTGGTTGACCTCTGGGCCTTTGGCATCGTCCGACTTCAAACCGCTCATCCGCGGCTTGCTCAACCGCAACCCCAACACTCGCCTTGGGCTCGGCCCAGATGGGATTACCGAAATCGCTCTACAGTCTCACCCAAGGGCATATACGCCATTGGTATGACGTGCGCAGAGAGCGAATGGGATAGACAAATGCAGGACGAGGGCAGCCCGACATGAGGAAACGTCGCGTCGGGGTGCGGGGGAGGCTGGGCGGGTGGTTTTCCAGGGGCGAAGTGCCGAGCGCGGAGCGGCAGGCTCGCGGCGTTTACGTAGGCGCGTGCGGCCGGGTGGCAGGCCACGCGCGCTTCTCATTCGCCGCGTGGGCATACGTAGGCCCATGACTACAACAATAACTCTATCAATTCCTATAAAATACATCATAACCCCAACCGTCCAGTACCATAACGCACCCGCCGTTTCCCTTTCGCCCCTCCCGTATTTCCACGGACAGCTTCCTCAACCAACAATTGACAATGTCAATGTTGTCTGCCCCCCGCTCTGCCAGCACCACTGCGCCCGGTGCAGAGAGCGCCTTCATGACCACCACCGCCAACGAACCGACGAGTGTAGTCAATAAGGCGCCAGTCACGGAAGCTCTCACGAAGCCAGTCGCGGCGAAAATTACTGCACCTTCAGCAGCGCTCGCAGCTGCTGACGCTCTGCTGGAGGCCATGGCTGTAGAGGCTCTCGCATCAAAGGTAGGAACCCGAACGGCACAAGCACAACAACGGGCAATTCCAGCTGAAGTGCTGGACCACAAGAGAGACGTACGTAGCAATCAAAGCTCCATGATGCGAGCGGCAGTCATTCTTGAGGCAGCTTTCAAGCTGGAGTGCTGTGCCAGAGGCCTGGCTGGCGGTCAGTCGGAGCTAGCTGAACACGAGTTGGAATTCATGGCTAGTCCACCAGGGGGCAATATATGGATTCCTCCTACTCGCAACGCGTTTGGTTTCATGTCAAGGCCTGTGCTGAACACACAAGAAAATATTGAAAGGGCTGGTGGATCTTCATGGCGCACAGGGCCGTCGCAGTCAATTACGAATAACTTTTTTCATGTCGGTACACCGCATGGTACGTCGGTTGTTATGCTGCTTGCACGCGAACGCGTTTGAACGCGTCCATCCACAAGTGCCTGTCAATGTAAACTACTGTACTAACGTTCAATTCCGCGTTCAACGTAACCACTTGCAGAACGTTTGGTCGTCGATAGACAGCCAAACCCCCACCCGTGAACGCCAGGTTTTCTGGCCGTCGACAGGCGCTGCAGCCGGCAGCGGTACTCGAAGTTGGGTACCGCGATCCCTCCCAAAGCTCCGGCAGAAACAATACAGCGACGGTGAAAAATGATTTTCAGCAGACAAAGCTAGGGAATTCGAGCGGGCGGCGTTCGCGCGTTGATCAAGAGCAGCTCCCTGCTCCCACAGGGATATCCAGTATGGCAGACGTGATTTTGTCATACTTTTTTAAGACAATCTATACAAAGAAGCCTTTGATAGATTATACAACGTCGGAGAAAAATCGGCTGCGCAAATGGGAGACCGCGCATTCTAAATACAAGGCACTTACAGAAGCCTTCTGCCAGATACTTTTTCAGTTTGGCGACAAGGGTGCGGATTTGGAGCGGGGACTCAGTCTTTCTGAGTCCTCCATTGTGCCTTTGCACGATCGTGGTGGCCGTTGTACAGCTGTCGTCAAATCGCGCGCTTATCTCTAATGTCTACGGGCCCCACGAGCAAATGGAAATAGAATAACTAAGTTTAGGAGCAGGGTGCGCGCTTCCACGATAAGAAGCGCTCTGGATAGATTACATGCAGCTTCCGCTCAATGTGCAGCCCGCAGTGGAGCTCGTCGAACTGATTAAATGCTTTTTGCAGGTTACAACTGCAGGGCGCGCCGCGCTTGCAAAATGGGGCGCAGCCCAAAGGCGACAGTGTGCGCGGGGCCGTGGCAGTTGGCTACAGGAGCACCCCGCCTCGCACGCCTCGCGCCCCCCCACCCTCCGTGCCGGCCGCCGCATGGCGGCTCGCGAGCCGCGCGTCCGTCCATCCCCGGGCGCTCGCTGCGCCGTGCCTCGCGCTGCTCGTCTCGCTGCGCCGCGATGGCGTTATCCGAGGACACGCGGTGCGTTGAGCGGGACGTGAGTCTGGCAAACGGGGAAGGCGAACGAAACTCTGGCGACTCGGGCGACGCGGTGGGCAGGGTAGTCTGGGACGCGGGCGGGGTGCGGGCGGGCGGGGGGGTGGTCGGCGCGCTCGCAGGGCGGGTGCGGTCCTCGCGCGAGAGGGCGCACAGGTGGGAGCGGCGGAGGAGGGCGAGCTTCGCGGCGAGGAGGTAGAGGATGCGGGCCTGGTCGGCGCGCGGCGGCCGCGTGGTGCGCGGGCGGCGCCACTGTGCGTCAGCAGGTGCTCCAGGCGGATGCGCACGGCGTGCTGACCCTACAGGTCGCGGTGGAAGGCCGACACGACGCGCGACAGGGCGGCGTACGTCGCGCAGCTGGCGGTGGTCGAGACGCAGGGCCGCGGAGTGCGGCGGCGACGCGACCCCGCGCGAGACGAGAGGGCGCTCAGCGCGGTGGAGAGGGTCGACGGCGTCGAGGACAGATCGACGGCCGTGAGCGACGGGGCGTCGCGCGCGGAGAGCGAGGGGGGGACGGCGGGCGGCAGGTCATGTAATCCTCGTAGTCCATGGGGGGGGAAGGGGAGGGGGAAGGGGGAGGGGGAGGTAGGGATGATGGGGGTGGTGGTTGGGCTTCCGGGGGGAGAGGGGGAGGGGTGTGTGAGAGGTTGGGAGGGTGCAGCGATGGAGGGGGAGGGTGCAGTACCATGGGGGGATGGGCGGGATATTTGGCGGCACTGGGAGGGTGGCGGGGGGTGGGCGGCAGGCGTGCGTGTACGGGGAAGGGCGGGCGTCTGTAAAGAGGGGCGTGCGCGAGGGGTTGGCGCGGGGGTGGAAAACGCGGTCCGCCGCCGACCGCCTGCCCGTTGACGGCTGGCACAGGCGGCTTGCGGAACGCACACCAGTCTGTCGTTTACAAGCAGGTGAAACCAAGCTTATCGTAGGGGTTCTCATTAAATTGATCATCTATACCGAGGTACTTGATCATCTCCTGTAATTCAGTCCATGCAAATTGTACCATAATGTCCCGAAGGCCCCACCCTACAACATAGTGATGATACTGTGCGCCCCCTCGACGGGCAGAATGTTCCGTCAGTCGCCCTGCGATCCCGATTGCGTTACTTATGTATCCTAACACCTCCCGGTACGTAGTGTGTGACATGCGTACACCTTCGCGCAGCGCACCGCCTTGAAACGCCGGGAAAAGTGGACCCTTCGTAATCTTGTTTGACTTGAGAACGAGTAGCCAGCGATGTAGCGCATGCAAAGGGCATATAGAGACGTGAGCCTCGCGCGAGAACTTAAAGTATCTAACGCCTGTGCCCGTTTTGGTAAAATGCAATACACCAAAAACCGCCGAGTTGAGACCAGAGCCTGGGAACACAAGATCTTCCACGTCTAGATTCAGTAGCTCATCGGCTCGAGCCACGCTTCCCCACTGCATTACGTTGAGTGTACAGGTCTGGAAAGCCCTGAAGTCGGACGGATCTTCAGCACTCGGGAGCACGCCATTCATCACGCGTAAACTCACGTCCCGGACGTATAGATTGTACAGACTTTGAACGTCCTCATGAGTCTCAGCCAGAGCGCGTTCGGTGATGTTGACTTTCGCTCGTGCCTGATCATTCTCGAGACGCCTCATTAACTGTTTGAGCTGTGGGGCGCTGCCCGGATTTTCGAGGAACGCTCCCCAGCCTTTCTCAACATATTCGCCCTTGACATGGCGGCACTCATACCCGACGCCACACTCGGCGCAGTCCAGCCGACTGAATGCGGCAGAGACGGCGCTTATGATCGCGCCGCCGGTTGACTTTGCCTTCTCATTCTCGAACCTGGAATCTATGACAAAGCCGCACCTGCTCATCATCAATGCAAGTGCCACCCCAACCGGGGATTGGGCTGGGGTTCTCTTTTGGAGGGAACGGAACGGCTTATTGAGGGGATCGTCGATAGGTGCTCCAACGTTTTTCATTGCTTCGCTGAACATTTTAATGATTCCCCTATATCGACTCTCGGAAGACTCCGCAAGTGGTCGCCGGAGCTTGGCCTGTCTCGCGATCAGCGCGGCGTTTAGCACAGCCGTGCTTGGTTGCACAGCTGCGCGCCCTCGAACGCTTGTGTAACCGCGGCCGCGGTTGCCACTGCCACCGCCGTGTCCGCCACGCATCGTCGACCTCGCCGAATCAAGCTCACAGCTCAGTGCAATCTGGGCGCCGTCTGGTATGCGCATGAGTCAGCGCAAGACTGAGGACGGGAAAGGAGCTAAGGGTGTATGACAGTAAGCATGACGTAAGAGTCGCGAGAGTGAGGACGGATACCCGGGGTGTGACTCGACAGACACGTGGCATATGGAGGGGTGTACGGGCGACAAACAGCGACAGCGACACAGACACGCGTGGGGACTCGCAGTACAGTACGGACGAACCAAACAGGCGGTCGACGAGTCGGATATCATGACCGATCTCACTGCCGAAGAACATGGCAAAGTGGAGCAGGAGCCTCGCGCTCTAGCACGAGAGTCCTCGCCTTTTATTCGCCGCTCTGCGCTTGTCTTCGTCGTCCGAGTCTACAGCGGCCAACATCTCGCCCATTGATCGCCCCGACGCGTCTGTTCGCCTTCAGCCTTGTCAAAGTCGTGGTCGATGGAGAAGAATTGGTCGAGTCAAATGTTGGAATGTTTTTCGTGTCCCTAGCCACTCCATTTTCATCCTCTTCCCCATTTCGCCAGCAAAGCTTTGCTTTCTCTTTCGCCTCTTCTCCGCCTTCCTCGTGTTATTTCTTTTCCAGCTTTCGCTTCACGATATCCTCACCCTTCTCCAACATACCCCGCTCAAAACTAAGCTCCATGTCCATGTCGTCCTCCTCGCCATCTCTCCCCTCGTTCACAGCGCCAAAGG